AGGTTACTCGTGGCAGTGTAGCCGAGTGGTTAGCGTGTCAAGCTAGCGTCCTGCACTGTCGCGGTTCGAATCCCGCTGAGGGTGTTGATAAGACCAATGCGAGGTCGAAACTGCAGGTACCTACCGTACTGCACTTTCGCGGTTCGAATCCCGCTGAGGGTGTTGATAAGACCAATGCGAGGTCGAAACTGCAGTCCACTGCTGCCTGGATGAGATTCGCGGTTCAGATCCCGCTGAGGGTGTTGATAAGACCAATGCGAGGTCGAAACTGCAGTCCACCCAGTGTCGCGGTTCGAATCCCGCTGAGGGTGTTGATAAGACCAATGCGAGGTCGAAAATGCAGTCCACCCAGGATGAGAACAACTTTTGGAAGAGTATTCGTGGCAGTGTAGCCGAGTGGTTAGCGTGTCAAGCTACCGTCCTGCACTGTCGCGGTTCAAATCCCGCTGACTCAAGGGTACTCGTGGCAGTGTAACCGAGTGGTTAGCGTGTCAAGCTACCGTCCTGAGCAGTGTAGCTGAGTGGTTAGCGTGTCAAGCTACCGTCCTGCACTGTCGCGGTTCGAATCCCGCTGAGGGGGTGTAGCCGAGTGTTTAGCGTGTCAAGCTACCGTCCTGCACTGTCGCGGTTCGAATCCCGCTGAGGGTGTTCCGAGTGGTTAGCGTGTCAAGCTACCGTCCTGCACTGTCGCGGTTCAAATCCCGCTGAGGGTGTTGATAATCGATGCGAGGTCGAAACTGCAGTCCACCCAGGATGAGAATAACTTTTGGGAAAGCAAGGCTATGTGAAATTCAGGAAAAGTCAGCTAAACTCATATCATTGTGGGAAAATTCTACTACCAGTCCTTCATCACCTTACACGAAAGAAACGTCAGCTCAACTCATATCATTGTGGGAAAATTCTACTACCAGTCCTTCATCACCTTACACGAAATTGTAAAAGTCAGCTAAACTCATATCATTGTGGGAAAATTCTACTACCAGTCCTTCATCACCTTACACGAAATAATTCAATGGTAACGTCAGCTCAACTCATATCATTGTGGGAAAATTCTACTACCAGTCCTTCATCACCTTACACGAAATAGCGTCAGCTAAACTCATATCATTGTGGGAAAATTCTACTACCAGTCCTTCATCACCTTACACGAAATAGGGGATCAGCTCAACTCATATCCTGGATGAGAACAACTTTTGGGAAAGCAAGGCTATGTGAAATCAATGGAAAAGTCAGCTAAACTCATATCCTGGATGAGAACAACTTTTGGGAAAGCAAGGCTATGTGAAATTCAATGAAAACGTCAGCTCAACTCATATCAATGTGGGAAAATTCTACTACCAGTCCTTCATCACCTTACACGAAATAGGGTGAATACATCTCATCACACTGATTTACTGGTAGTCTCGAAACCCTACTTTAATACGAATATAAG